ATTTAATAGGTAAAAAAAAAAAAAAAAAAAGAGTAAATTTGTAGGTAGAAGGCTACCATAGAAGGATGGTTGTTAGTAACTTAAAATGAGAGGGAAAGTTAAATAAAAAATAACATTAATTGGAAGTTTGTTTGTTTTGACTTTAATTAATAAAACAAAACTAATTACATTAAAATAAAAGGGTAAGTAGGTAATTTGGTATTTAATATATTAATTTTTAAAATCACAATATAGCATAGACATGCAAAAGTTTTCTGAATAGAAAAATGAATATTTAAAATTAGAGGTATTAGAAAAACTTAAAAATAAAGGGCAATGAGAGGAATTAAGTGAAAATAGAAGGGCATATCCGTAAATGAAGGAAATGGAAAAGGGTGATTATGAAAATAACTAATTGGAGGACAGGCAATCACAGGGTTTTGGCGGGTTCCTGAGGCTGATTTTTTAGCTGAAATCTTAGCTCCTTCTCACCTTATTAATGGCTTTTAATTCCACTTTTACATTCTTTTTACTGCTCATCTACGCCACCACCGCCGCCGTCGCGATCCCTTTCATCATTTTTCTTCTCCTGACGAACACTGAGAGCCAACTCCGAGCATAGGAGGACCCCAATTTCTCTCTTTCTTCTGCGTCACTGAAGATTCCCCCTGTTCTTTCTTCCAACCGAAGCACTTGCAGATCCGCAGCTTAGTCGAGGTATCTATGAACATTTCCTTACTAACCCCAATTAATTTAAGTTTCCAAATGTGCTAATAATGTTAACTAATCAGTATTTAATCCTATTCGTGTTACCTCTTTTTCTGCATTTGGCGTTTTCTCCACTCTGTAATTTTCTAACATTTCGTGTTGGAATTTTTGGCATCTGGGTCTTCTCCTTCTGGTGGGGTTTCTGGTGACGTTTCATTGAAGAGAAATGAAGTGTTTCCTTTAGCCTCTATTGAGTTTAAACTCTCTCTTGTTGTTACTTACAGTGCATTTTCCTTTTTCTTTTTCCAGATTTGGTTGGACAGATGGTTTGGGAATCTGTTTTTCCCTCTGTTCTTGTCAGTCTTCTTGTTCTGGGTTTCAGTGCCCGAGCGGCATTTTTTTGAATGGGGCAGTTTTCAAGATCAAGGCCTTGTCCGATCCGGGGGTTTTCTACTGGGTGTTTTGAATTTTGTTCGTAAAATTTGGCGTTTCTGACGAATTTGTGTCTCCTCCAAGAAGGTATGTGTAGAATTGTCATCTGTTTCTGTAATCTTTCGCTTTTCCCCTTCCCCTTTCTTTTATGCAGTTTTATTCTTCTTGTTTTCCCTTTTGAATTCCTCATTAACGGTCCAATCCTCCCAGTAGCCATTGAACTCAAGTCCATTGGGAGAGCAATTGAATTGTGTTTTAGAAACATGTAATCTGGGTTGAAGATGATTGAGCTGAATCTCTAGTGTTTTTCTCCATTTCTTGGTCAAATTTTGCTTTTAAAGTTCGGATGTTCTGTTTTTTGTGTGCTTGTTTCTCCCTAACCTAATAACGTTGTTGTCATCTAATTTCTTCCACTGCTGTTCTCAATGTTGCTGGTTTGACCTTTTGATGTAATCTACAAACAGTCCTACTGTAAATTTCAATTTCCAGTTTAGGTATCTAGTCTCCCTGCTGGAATTGTTGACCCAAGAAGTTGATTATGTGCATTGGGATTGATAATTTTCATCAAATAAGTTCGAATTTATCAATATTGACGAGTTATATTGTTCAGCATTATCCAATTTCTTGAGTCTCCTCTGCATGTACTTCCAATCCCTTTCTGAATGCACATTCTTTTCTGGACTTCAACGTTTAAGTTGTATCAGTGGACCTGCTGTTTTTTCTGCTTAAACTGCTCAAATTATATATAATCTGACAAGCCCCTTGATTTGATAGTGGTGATGGGAAACTAATGTATTGCCAATTAGGAATCACGACCCTCTCCAATGGTATGATATTGCCCCATATACTACTGTATGTGGGACTCCTCTCACCAACAATCCTCCCCTCAAACAAAGTATAACATAGAGCCTCTCCTGAGGGGCCTATGGAGCCCTCGAACAACCTCCCCTTAATTGAGATGCGACTCCTTTCTCTGGAGCCCTCGAACAAAGTACACTATTTGTTCGACACTTTAGTCACTTTTTGACTATACCTTTGAGGCTCACAACTTCTTTGTTCAACATTTGAGGATTTTATTGGCATGGCTAAGTTAAGGACATGACTCTAATACCATGTTAGGAATCACGACCCTCCACAGTGGTATGATATTTGTCCACTTTGAGCATAAGCTCTCGTGACTTTGCTTTTGGTTTCTCCCAAAAGGCCTCATACCAATGGAACATATTCTTTACTTATAAACTCATGATCATCCCCTTAATTAGCCGATGTGGGACTACCA